ATATATATATATATTAATTTTTAAAATTTTTATCTTTCAACCCCTGAACTCTAGTGATCTTCCTTCCTCACCCTCCCTAGTATCTGGAATCACTGATGCATTGTAACCATGCCTAGCCTCTGGTTTTTTTGTTTTTTGTTTTTTTGTTTTTAGTTCAGGTGATCAAACCTAGGGCCTTGTACTTGTACAGTACCATTGAGCTACAATCCCAGCCCTGGTTATACATTTTTAGTAAATTTGTTTTATGGGCTACGGAAAAGAAAAAAATACAAACCCAAACTTTGTGTTTTATTTCCTTTAGATCTTTGAAGATGGTCACTTGAGTCACTTTATAGATGGAAGGGAGACGGGGAACTGGATGTCTTACGTCAACTGTGCCCGCTTCCCCAAAGAGCAGAACTTGGTTGCTGTTCAGTGTCAAGGACAGATATTTTATGAGAGCTGCAAGGAGATTTACCAGAACCAAGAGCTGCTTGTGTGGTACGGAGACTGCTACGAGAAGTTTCTAGACATTCCTGTGAGCCTTCAGGTCACTGAGCAGGGCTCTCCACCAGCAGGGCCCACAGAAGGTGAGTGTCCCACCCTTGTCTGCCCAGTGAGGCCTCAATGGGGATGTCTTTCCAAAACTGCTGAGGCTACTTCTATTCATAGAGGTACCCACATCCCCCAACACACACCCCTCTCCCCCGCTTGAAAATAAAATAAAATAAGTGGATGCCTCTTCTGCCTTAGCTGAGTCAGTTTTGACTCTTCTCTGCTCATGCTCAGAATAACATCGCATGAGGGCAAAGCACTTAGAGCAGTGCTTTTCAAATGGAATGCAATACTTTAGCAGGTGGGAGATCGACTTGGTGATAAAGACCAACGTTAAAGATGGTGGGGGCACTGTGAGAATAAATAGTTCAGTGGTAGAGCACTTGCCTAGCATGTACAGGCCTCTGGATGCTTTTCCTGGCACTGGAAAAAAATTAGTAGAATAGACAGTAGTGATGGGAAGCCAGGAATGGTATTGCAAACCTGTAATTTCAGCACTCTGGGAGGCTAAAACAGGAGGGTTAAAGTTTGAGCCTTACCTGGGCAGTTCAGCATTTCGGGTCCTGTGAAATGAAAAATAATAAAAGGGCTGGTAATGTAGTTCACTAAAAAGGCTCTGGGTTCTATCCCTTGTAGCACAAATTAATAAGTTAATTAATGAGTTACCTAATTGGTAAACATTAGGCATTATTTTATGGGGTGCTGTCCAAATGCCTACAGTGTATGCCAGAGATAAGGATAAAATATATTTGTCGCTGTGGGTCCCAGAAGAGTATGAGAGGCATTGAGCTGGGCTCTGTCCCACAGACTTGAACACAGAACACAACTGTGTACAGCTAGGACCTTGTAAAGGTGCCAGTTCCCATTCGGGTTGGGCTTGAGACTGCACTTCCTATGCCTGTGAAGGAGGCTGCGGCTGGTCCCAGCCAAATCTGAGCAGCAGGAGCTAGAGGACTACCCAGCCACTCCGCCCTAACCACGGGGTGAGCCTCTGGATTTGCTTTTATGGGAGCCTGCTGCCGGCCTGCAGGGCCTCAGGGCAAGTGCTCCACTACTAAACTACCTCCCAGGGCCTGGAATTTGCATTTTAAATAAGCTCTCCCAGGGATTTTTATACACACAAAGGTTTGAGAGGTACTAATTGTCTAGGTAGGATGAGTGTAAATCACTGTGAAGTGTATAATTGAAGGTAGAAGACATTATCACTTACGTAAAAGAACGTGTGAATTGCAGTGGCAGGCCAGACAGTGATTGTCTACCTGACTCCAGCTAGACTGACATCTTCAGGGCCGGAAATGACGCTGAAAACTGACATAGCCCCCCACCTCCACACCCTAAGCACTGACTGAAGGAGGGAGACTAAGACTAAACTGGGAAAAGCTGTTTATGAATTTAGATGAAGTGAGGAAAAAACGAGAGAGAAGGGAGGTCCATTTAGGAACAGGGAACAGTGAAGCCCAAGCCTTGGAGATCTGTGCCAGGAGTCAGAGGAAGCTATCAGTTTCTTCCAGCAGTCCGGTAATGGGGGCTGTCGGAGTCATTTCAGGAACTCTTCTATTCTCTGTGTGGCACGGGCATGGGATGTGAGTGGAATGGGATTCTCTAAGCCACACTCAGGATCAGAACAAGTAAGAATTATAGTCGCTTCCAGAAATGTGCCAACTATTTTTGAAATAGAAGTGGAAAATGGATTTGAGAAAAAGACATGCTGAATAATCCTCAACATGTTGTCATCCTTTTGAGAAATTATTTTATCAGTGTGTATTGAACTGTAAGTGTCCATAACATTTAATGTGTCCGTGAGAGTCATGGTAAGTTGTCAACACGGAATAGTGTGCAGGCGACTGAGACCACAGTCCTGACAAGTAACGGAGGTGTGAGGGCTCGTGGTGAAGATAAAGGCCAGCATGGAGCGACTTGTGCTGCAGGTCTGAACCGAGTGACCCTGGATGCAGATGGCACTGTTAAATGTATGATTTGGACAGTGTACAGAAGGGAGCATGTAAAAAACTTAATTTGTTGAGAAGACATTGATGACTTTTTGTTGCTGTTTTTGTGGTGATGGGGATCTAACCCAAGCTATAGTCATGCCAGGCAAGCTCTCTACCACCGAGAGCCCCCTGCCCTACACCAATATGGATGTTTTGGGATGTGATAAAAAGAAAGATCTACTGAGCATGGAGTTACATACCTGCTACCCCAGCACTCTGGGAGGCTAAAGTAGGTGGGCTCTAAGTTTGAGCCCACTCTGGGCAATTTAGTGAAAATCTGTCCAAAAATTAAAAAAGGGACTGGGGATGTAGCTCAGTGCAAAGGACCTGAGTTCAATTCCCAGTACTAATCAATCAATCAATAAAAGATATAAATTCTAAATTCCTCTGCTCTCTGCAAAAGATTTTCTTTGACCAGAGGTTTTTTTTTTTTGTACTGGGGATCGAACTCAGGTTCTTGCGCTTGCAAGGCAGGCAGAGGAACCACTGAGCTAAATCCCCGGCCCTGGCCACAGGTTTTTGAAAGGACTTGCCCATCAGGTCTGGACTCTTGTATGAGTGGGGTGTTTGAATATGCCAGTGCTGTGTGTATTTTGGGAGTGGAGGCATGGACCATGCAGACAACTCTTTACTGTTATGGTAAGAGGAACACTTAACATGAGATCTACCATCTTGAATGTGCACCAAACTATTGGGAAGAGAGTATCAGAGTACCAGAGGTGGGAAACTCCTTGGCTAAAGAAGAATGGTTGATTAGGATAAGAGGAAAAAAGTAAAGAACTAGGATAAAATTCAGACAGATTTCCAGACTTGAGCAGGAAATACAGATGGCTAAAAACCCAATTGTTAAAAGTCAATTTTCTTTCTCCCTAACTGGTCGCTAGGCAAACTCTAGTGAACTCTTCTGACTTTTGGTGTGCTTTCATGCTTTTATTTGTAAAAATCACTGACCTGATCCAGGAAGCAGGAGGCCGAGCTATCTGACCAATGGAGACAGGCTCTGAGCATCCCCTCAGCATGGGGTCCTGAGTGTATTCCACACCTCAATGAAAGTGATAGACCTGGGAGCAGGCCAGGGAGCCTCTGCTGGCTGTAGCCCTCCTGATTATTTACTTAATGAATGGTTTATTTCCTCAGCCACCTGTTAACCATGCCTGGGATGTAACAAAGCCCCTGCTGGACAGCTTCCCTGCTGGCCTAATACAGAAAAGATCTCTGCAAATTCTTGCATAGAGTCCCTCTTGGCTCTTCTGTCCCTGGGAGCAGACAATGAGGTCTCAGTGGTGATTTCATGGTGAAGCCACTTTGTCCCCTGGAATCCAGAGTGTCCCCTGCCCCCAGTGCATAGACACCTCTGGCCCTGAGACCTCTGCTCTAACCTTCCCTTCTTCCTCCTCCACCTCCACTGATAAGAGCACCTTTACCTTTCTCAGCCTTGCCTGTCTTAGTGTGGTTAGGATGCTAAGCCCTTAAGCATGCAGATTAAGAAAGCCAAAATGTTTTCACTCTTACTCTGAATGTGACTATTCTAGCTCTGAAATCTTTCCCCAAAAGTTTAGAGTGTGAACTAAGAGAGAAGAACAGCACTGGGAAGCAAGGTGCGAGTGCTCTGAGGATGGCTCTGAATTTGTAGCTTTGGCTGCTCCTGCAGGAGACAGAAAACTAGGTGCACTGCCATTAATTGCCCTTGGAACAAGGCCTGGAGTGTTGCCCACTGCAACGGTGGATGCCTGTAAGCTCAGTTACCTGGGAGGCGGAGACAGGGTTAAACAGACCAGCCCAGACAGCTTAGCAAGACCTAAACTCGAAATAAAAAGTAAAAGGAGCTGGGAATGTAGCTCAGTAGGAGGCCATGAAAATGTGAACTATTTTTTTTTTTGGTACCAGGGATTGAACTCATGACCTTGCGATTGTGAAGCAGGTGGTGGAACCACTGAGCTAAATTCCCCGCCCATTGTGAACTATTCTTAAATTGGACTGGAGGGAGGATTTCTTCAACAAAACACCTTGGCATACAAAAGGAAATAGTGTGTATATCTAGTAAGGAATAAGTATTAAGTCTTAAAGTAACAATGGATTATTATGCATTTTTTTTTTGTTTTTTGAGAGAAGGCCTGTTTATAGTCCATGCTGGCCTTGAATTTACCTTCCTGCTGATCACAAGTGTGCTCCACCCTGCATGGCTAGCATTATTGATATACTTTTTCATCCCTTCCAGCAAAGGTCCCTGACCCATCCTTTATGGAAAATCCTTGTTTGGTCTTTTGTCCCGCTTGCTACGTGACTTGCTTCCCCATTGGATCCCCATTTAATCAATATTACCTAAGTGACGATACCTGTAATTTTATTGGTTGATCATTGTTTTGTCCCGCCTCATACTCACCAGTGATTTCCTAATGTATGACTATTACCTAAGCGACTGTACTTTGTAATCTTACTAGTTGACTATAGTTTTGTTCCACCTTGAACCTGTCTCACCTCGTGGTTTTGCTGCATAAACTACCTCCCCCTCCCCCATGGGACTGCGGATGTAGCTGAGTAGTGCTGTACCTACCTTGAAAACGCAAGGTCTTGCGTTCGATCTCTGGTTCTTGAAAACCCCCCTGAGAAACAGCCTCCCCAGGCAACCCACTCTCTGGTCCCCCTTTTGTCTCTCTTAGAGGAAGCTATCTTTCTCTTAATACATTTTTCTTACTCTTGAAAAAATTTTTTAAAAAATAAAAACATCCTTATCTTATCTGGGTGTGGTAGGGCAGGACTGTATTCCCACTGCACTGGGAGACTAAAGCAGGAGAGAATGGAAAATTTGAGCAGGCCTTGGGCAATTTAGCAACTTAGCAAGACCTTGTCTCAAAAGGGCGGGGAATGTAGCTCAATGTGAGGGCCCTGGGTTCAGGCCCCAGTACCACAGGCAAAAACAGGAAGCCTGGAAGCTGGGAGAAAGTCCTTATCTTAGCTGTCTCAAAACAGCAACAAAAATTGTTTTCTTGAGATTGGCCTTTAACTCACTGTGTAGTCCATGCAGTGACTCCTCTTGCGTCGACCTCTTGAGTGCGTGTGTGCCACCAATGCTCAACAAAGCAAAAGCTCTTATATAAAAATCATAGTTCGAGGTATGTATGAACCAAATGATGAATTAGAATGAAAATAATCCATTACGGAGAGAAGTGATAAAAGCAGAGCTGGTTATGGGCAAGTCAGTGTGCGACAGTCTCACTATGGAGCCCAAGCTGGCTTCCAACTTGCTGTGATCCTCCTGCCTCAGCCTCCCAAGTGGTTGTAGGCATGCTTCCACACCGGGCCGTGTGAGGTTTATGACCCTTCTTTTCTCCATTGGTATATGTTTACGGTTCTGGGCGAGGAGGAGGGAAGGTAACTGACACCCTGTGTTTGGCAGAGTCTACAGAAGGTTATAGATGCGAGAGATGCGGAAAAGTGTTTACTTACAAATACTACAGAGACAAGCACCTCAAGTACACTCCCTGTGTGGACCAGGGTGACCGGAAGTTCCCCTGCTCGCTGTGCAAGAGGTCCTTCGAGAAGCGGGACCGCCTGCGAATCCACGTTCTGCACGTTCACGAGAAGCACCGGCCACACAAGGTGAGCCTGGGATGGGAGGGTGATCTGCAGCCCGGCACTGAGTTCAGAGAGAGGTGCACACACCCCGTCCCCCACCCCCACTGGGCCAGGGACACAGCACGGGAGGAGCCAGCAGGGACTGGCCTCGTGGAAGACGTGGTTTTGAGCTGAGCAGAGTCTGGAAGAAGAGAGGGGTTTCTGATTTATTCTGGAGGCACAGGATGTGTTGAAGGGGTGCAGGGCTGTGACAGTCTAGACAGCTATGTGAGGTCTTGGGTAATTAATTGCACTTCATCCTATATCCAAAATTTAAGTATTTGTGATTACGTGTCTCTAGCTTTTTCTTTTGGGGGGAGTTTGAGACAGGGTGTCACAGTGTAGCTTAGGCTGGCCTCAAGCTCACACTGATCCTTCTGCCTCAGCCTCCTCAGGCTTAGGATTACAGGCTGTGCCACTAAGCTCTGCTCTGTTGTTCTTTTTATTGGTACCAGGGAGTGAACTTGGGAGCTTGTGCTTGCAAGGCAGGCTAAATCCCCAGCCCTGTTCTTTTTTGGTTGTGCCAAGGATTGGCCCCTGACCTCACAGCCAGATGGCGAGGGCTCTACCACTGAGCTTCAGCCCCACCAGGCATTTGGGGTTACAGGTATAGTTGCAGGCAGGGAGGAGCTGAGGATAGCCCAGGTGCACGTGGCCTCTGGCTGGCCCGGATGATGACCTCGGACATCCCAGACGCCTGCCTGCTCTGCCAGGCTGGGTACAGAAAGCATAAGACAAGCTTTGGCCCAGGCTAGGGGGAGAGACTTGGGCACACACAGGTTCTCAGCCCTGTTGGGACCAAAGGAGGCAGTGGTGACATTTAACCCTGCTTCCCTCATGTGAAAACTGAGGAAAATTTATAAAATTGTCCTTATCTCGCCCCTCTTTCCTAAGTTGAAGTTTCTTGTTAGTCAATATTAACATTAAGTTAGGCTCAGTGGAAGAGCCTCTGCCTAGCGTGCTTGAGGCCCTCGAAACAACCCAGCTCCCCTCTCCCCAAAACACATTAACACACGTTTATCCGAGTAGCACTGAGGGAGAGGGAGGAAGTGCTGTGGCTGCTGTATGCTGGGCTTGGGACCGGCTCACCACCAGCACTGCAGGGACGCGGAGGCAAATTATTAAGCCAGGACAAAAGGAAATCACATGAAGCAGACGTGCTTGAAAGAAATAATTTTTGCCTTGGTTTGGGTTCTGGAGATTGAACCTAGAGCCTTGCACATGCTTAACAAATGCTCTACCATGTCTACATCCTAGACCCTAAATGATTTTCAAAAAAAATCATTGATTTACCAATATTGAAATGCTAGGTATGCAATACTAGCTAGGTTGCACATGCTTAACAAATGCTCTACCATGTCTACATCCTAGACCCTAAATGATTTTCAAAAAAAAAATCATTGATTTACCAATATTGAAATGCTAGGTATGCAATACTAGCTAGGAATGCAATGCTAGGCTGAATACTGTCTTACCACTCTCCTTCTAACCTAAGTGTGTTTTCTCTTCATATAATTAATTGGCTAAAATTGATGAAGGCCAATGTCCCTGAAAAGTGACATCAGTTTCAAAAAGAACATCAGCTGGGCCGGGGATTAATTTAGCTCAGCAGCCTCAAGCCTGCCTTGCAAGCACAAGATCCTGAGTTCGATCCCAGTACCAAAAACAAAACAAAACAAAAAACTAAAATTTACCCTGTACTCCTTAAGAGTTATACATACAGTTCCATGCACAAATTCAGAATCTTCCTCCTAGGGCTTTGCTTTTCCAGAAAGTTGTGTTTTGTTTCCCCAGTGCTAGGGATTGAACCCAGGAATTTTGCACTGAGCTACATTTCTAGCCCTTCATTTTATAATAAGGTCTCCCTAAATCACCAAGGTGCCCAGGCTGGGCTTGAACTTGTGGGCTTCAAATCTTCCTACTTCAGCTTCTCAGAGTCTGAGATTACAGATGCATTACCATACCTGGCTCAGAAAGCATTGAACCCTGTCATGTGCGCTGGCTTGCACCGTACTTAGCCTTTATCTGTGACTTCCTTGTAAGCTTTGTATCAGGGATCGAACTCTTCATGGGGCTTAATCTGCATTGGACCTTTTTCTTTCTTTTTTTTTTTTTTCTTTTTCTTTTTCCCCTTCTCTGGTGGATTGAATCCAGGGCTTTGTGCATGCGAAGCAAGTGCTCTACCACTGAGCTATATCCCTGGGCATTTTATTTTACTTGATTTTGATCCACTGTCTTGCTAGATTGCCCTCAGCATGGGGAGACCACTGTTTATAGACACAGAGTGGACTGGAGACTTTTCTCCCCCACCAGTGGACATGATAGTGAAGTAGAATTTCTTTCACTTTTCGGGGCTCACGGGGCGGGCAGTGGAACCACTGAGCTAAATCCCTGACCCGTGAAGTAGACTTTGTAGTTAGGGGACGAAGATATCGTTTCACCTCTACTCTGCTTGCTTTTCACCTTAGTGTTCTACGTGTGGCAAGTGTTTCTCTCAGTCTTCCAGCCTGAACAAGCACATGCGAGTCCACTCTGGAGACAGACCCTATCAGTGTGTGTACTGTACCAAGGTAAGAGGCCCACAGGGGCGTCCACAGGTGAGGGAGCACAGCGCCTGCCTTAGAATGGATGCACCTGTGGTAAATGTTAGCCATTTACCAGCCCAGTCCCCATTTCTACCTCCAAATATGCTCTCATTTGCTAAAGATTGTTGTAGGCTGTGGCCTCTTATCGGTAAGCTTGTGCTTGGGACATACTATATTCAGACACCTCAAATTTGCGGGATCTGATGATCACAGATGCTATTTCCTAGCATATAAGAGTATGGTCTTCATCGGGTGTGATGGCACATGCCTGTAATCCCAACACTCAGGAGGCTGAGGCAGGAGGATGGCTGAGACCAGCCTGGGCTACACAGTGAGTTCCAGAGCAGTCTGAACTACATAGTGAGACCCTGTCTAAAAAAACCAAAAACAAACAAACAAAAAGAGTATGGTCTTGGCTGAGTGTCAGCCTCACTTTTAGTTCTCATCCATCTGTGCAACCTTGGATTGCACAAAGAATCCATTTGCTGCTTTATTGTTTAGTTGCCTTATTGGTAAAATGAAGGAAACAGTCTTCAACAGTTTCTGGACTCCGTGAGTCATTGCATGTAAAACTGCATTGCAGTGCTGGGCATGTTGTGGCTCCTACTAAAATGTTAGCTACTCTAATGTGAGAAAATTTAAATTGGAGGAGTCCTGAGGATCTAGCTTTCTAGAGGGACATTATAGGTGTGGCATCTAATCTGTGTTGCATGGAATAGAGTTGTACTTGGGCCGGGTATCACACACCGGTAATCCCAGCACTCAGGAGGCTGAGGCAGGAGGACCAAAGTTTACAGGCAGCTACCTACCTAGTGAATTCAAGGCTAGCCTGAACTTATAGTGAGACCCAGCCAGGTGTAGTGGCATCCAGCACTGGAGGCTGAAGCCTGGATTGGGAAATAGAGATGATGCTTTAGAAGCATTATGGCGAACTGCCTTGTGTTCAGTTTTGTTGAATGGATCTGTGTTGTGCAGTATGTAGCTATTACTACACATGGGCTATTTGAATTCACAAAAATGAAATAAATTATTCCATTCCAAGATGCACTGCCACTTTTCTCCTGGCACTGGAAACTGAACCCAGGGCCTTCACAATAACCTACATCCATAGCCCTTTCTTATATTTTATTTTTGTTTTTTGTTTTTGTTTTGATACCGGGGCTCAAACTTGAATCCTTGCACTTGCAAGGCAGGTGGCAGAACCAGTGAGCTAAATCCCTGGACCTTTCTTATTATATTTTATTTTTAGACAGGATCTCGCTGAGTCCCTAAGTGGTTGGCTGGGTGAGAGAATCTGTGCTCCTGCCTCAGCTTACCAGAGTGCTCGTATCACAGGTGTGAGCCACCACACCCAGCTCAGTAGCCATATTTTAAGTGATCGGTGGTCACTCAAGAGGTCCAGTGAATGCCCATCATTGCAGAAAGTCCTCTGTCATGGTGTCATTTACTTGTCTTACACTGAAGTCATGAAAGAAATATAAACTTTCTCAGAGGGACTTCTAAACATCCCAAATAGGAATGAAACATTAACTCTGCTGGGCCCAGGGAAACTGGTACTTGTAGAAAAGAATCAGCATTAGAAAAACAGGGCTGTAGGGGCCAGGGATTTAGCTGTCTGGTACTGCTGCCTGCTTTGCAAGCACAAGGTCCCAAGTTCAATACCAGGTACCAAAAAAAAAAAGAAAAAGAAAAAATGGGGCTGAAACATTAAGTAACCATGAGAACCCAGCTCCAGCACAGATCAAAGAAAGGTGGCCAGAGGTTTAGTGGAGGAGGAGCTCCATCCTGAGGGGTAACTCCTGCCCCTAGGATTTACAGAGGAAGTACAAAATAACCCACAACTTGTCTTATCTCTGAAGTTCTTTTTTTTCTTTTTTGGTACCAGGGCTCGAATTCGGGTCCTTGTGCTTGCGAGGCAGGCAGCGGAACCACTGAGCTAAATCCCCGGCCCTTATCTCTGAAATTCTAATCCTGACACTCCGCCCTGCACTTCTAGCTAACCTGGAAAGGAAGGATGCTCTGAAGAGGAAACTGAGGCCAGCTAGGTTATTTGGTGATCTGGAATTCTCGTCGATGCAGTCCAGTCATTAGTGGAGCCTGGGTGGCCCTTGGTATGGAGCAGTGAGCTGACTCTTCCCCCGAAGTGTCAGTGCCGGGGGTCCTGCTACTCAGACACTCCATTGTCAGCTGTCCCCCCCCAGCCCTATCTTCAGGTTCACTAGGTTAACCTCATGTTTTGTTTTAGTTTTGTTTTTTGTACCAGGGATCGAACTCAGGATCTTACACTTGCGAGGCAGGTGCCACTGAGCTAAATCCCTGGCCCTTAACCCCATGTTTTATATTACTGCCATTGAACCCCCAAAATAAGGTCATTTTCTTAACATCTTTCACATACTGCCAAGTGACAAGTCAGAAAATTGTTTTGAAATAAATGAGAACAAAGGTTATAAATAAGGGAAAGATAAGACATGGCTAATAATGTTTAAAAAACAATGAAATGTCTGGAAATCTAAAATTTTCAGCTGCTCCAGAAAATAGTTGGAGGGTTGCTTTGAAAACTAAGCATGGGGGGCGTGCAGAAAGCACACATCAGCAGGCAGGGAGATGAGGAGGGAGGGTTTTGAGTTAGAGACCCCAGCGGAGGAACAGGGCCCCCTCATCTCAGAAAGATCGGTGACACTTGCACTACCCTAAGACCCTGCAGTCACCTCCACAGCACTGCTCCCAGGGATATGAAGCCTTTTATGTTCACACAGGACTGTACAGCACTGTTGGAATGGCAGCCTTATTCCTCATAGCCCCAAACTGCAAACAGCCCCGGTGTTCTTCAGCAGACGAGTGCTGGAGCCGAGCGGGGCGCACCAGGCTCTTTGCTGAACACAGCTTGGCAGTGAGAGAAATGAGCTCCTGCTAACCCAACCCCAGCAAATCTCTGGAGAGTTATGCTGAATGGAAAAGCAAATTGTGGAGGGATGCATGTCATGTGATCCCATTTATGTAGCGTTCTTCTTTTGGGGGGCGAACTGGGCATCAAAGATGGGGCCTTGTGCTTTCCAGGCAGGCGGTGGAACCACTGAACTAAGTCCCCAGCCCTGTATAATGTTCTCAGCATGCTAAAGCTACAGGGGAGGAGAGCAAAGTAGTGGGCTGTCTCAGCTGAAGAAGAAAGTGGATGGGAGTCCTGGCCACAGAAGGACAATGTGGACGTCGCTTGGGTGAAAGTGTTCTCTGTCTGGAGCTGGGGGTGTAGTTCAGTGGCACTGTGCCTGCCTTGCAAGTGCAAGGTTCTGTGTGCTCCGGTACTAGCAAAAAAGGGAAAGTGTTCTGTGTCTTGAAGCTGGGCTGAGGTACTGTGAGATGGAACCACTGAGTGAAATTGAGCAGTGGTGTACAGAATCTTTTTCTGTCCTGTGTGTGTGTGTGTGTGTGTGTGTGTGCGCGCGTGCGCATGCACGCGAGCACATGTGCGCGCTGGGAGATCAAACTTGGGACCTTGTGCTTGTGAGGTAGGCAGTGGAACCACTGAGCTAAATCCCAGCCCCAGAATCTGTTATTTCTAACTATACATGTACAAGTATTCCAGATGTACAATTACCTCTTTTTTATTTAAAAAAGAAAAATCAGTGAGGTGTTGATTTATGCACGGCCCCAGTCAATGTAAGCCTCTCCTTGGGTGATGCAGTTAGCCTTGGGTGTGTCCAGAATTGCTTAATTATTGGTTCCTGGGTTTTGTGTGAGATTTTTTTTTCCCCCTTATCTCAGATTTTTAAAACTAAATGGTCCAGGGATTTACCTCAGTGGTGCTGCTGCCTCACAGATGCAAGGTCCTGAATTGGATCCCCAGTACCAAATCAAACAAAAACTATAGTCCCCAGTGATGTCAGCTACTGACAACCACGGCTTTCAGATGCAGTGCTCCTCACAAAAGTAGCCAGGGTGACAAATCAGCACAGTCCTTTTTGATGAAGGCTGCTACTGTTCACCATGAATGTTTCAATAGCCTTGAAATCCAAGGTGCTTCAGTCAGCGAACCAAGGGGTAGCACGAGTTGTCGGTGGCCATGAGATAAGCCCATATGAATGGGTGGCCCAGCCCACGGAGGGCGTCTTTCTCTTCTGCTCTCTGTCCTCTGCAGAAGTTCACTGCCTCCAGCATACTCCGCACACACATCCGGCAACATTCCGGGGAGAAGCCCTTCAAGTGCAAGCACTGCGGCAAATCCTTTGCGTCCCACGCTGCCCACGATAGCCATGTCCGCCGCTCACACAAGGAGGACGAGGGCGGCTCCTGCGGCATCTGTGGGAAGGTCTTCCCCGATCATGAAGCCCTGGACTCCCACGTGAAGGTTCACGAAGACTGCACACCCTCGGAGTGCGGAGCCGTGTGAAGCTGAGGGCTTGGACTCTCCCTGGCTCTCCTTATGGGTGTGCGGTAGGGTGGGGAGAAAGAACCAGCCAGCCTGCTGAACTGAGCAGGTTTGTTGGGCCCTTGTGGAAATGCTTTCCGCAGTTGTTAACAAGCATAGAATGTGGGGGGCCTTAGCCGGAACAGTGAGAGCTCAGAGGAGATATGGCCTGAGGGTCCGAAAACGCCACACCTACCCCGAGTGCCGCAGGTGTCCCTGCAGAGTCCTAGGCTGGCTGTCGTGGAGAAGCAGGCCTTCTCTTCTCTCATTTGATTTGGTCCCCCAGATGCGCCGCCTGCCCATCCAGTCCTGTTTTCTTCGTAGAACAGATTTTTTTTCATTGATTCAAGCTACAGCTCGATTATTAGTAGTCAATTAAGTCTTCAGATGTGAATGAACCTTTTATCTTTATTTGGATTCATTTTTAAGCCCTTCGTTCCTACCCCGCCCCCAGCACGTGCCAGATAACGCACTTGGTACCAAATAAAGCTACTCAACAGGGACCGGAGCGGGTCATCCACTCTGCCCTCTGTCACCTATGCCAACTGGGAAAGGAAAATTATAACCAGAGAGACAAAGGCTAAACACCTATTTGTGTTGCTCTGGTTTTAACGTGATTTCACTTCTGATAAATAAAGCGGACTTTTTTTCAGGTCTTTGTGATTAGTTTGTTATGGTGACCAGGATGGGGGGGGAGCCGGTGGAAGGAAATGCGTGCTGGCCAAGCCCTCCCCGGCCGGTGTGCGGAACCTCGAAGCGAATGCGCAGGCAGACTCGTGCTGTGGGTGGTGATAGCCGGGGCCCTTGAGCATTAGCTGGGAACCCAGCACCCCCGAGTGCCGCTTTGCCGATGAGGGGTTGAGACCTGCGGTGAAGGAAGTGCTGGGGGGGATCCCTTGTCCCTAAGGGGCAGAGCTAGATCTGCCAGCCGACAAGCTAGCCACCGCACCCAGTCCGGATCCTGGGGAGGAGACCGCATTCTCCCAACCGTCTGTTGTTAAGCATCGGGAGTAGAACTGGGGGACCTTGCGCTTGCGAGGCAGGTGTGGTGCCAACGAGCTACCTCCCCAACTTGCTCCCCTTTTTTATTTTGCTCCCATTCTTGAGGACAGAAGCAACAGCAGGCTTTGAAATGTTAGCACAGGAAATTTGAGAGCACAATAAGCAAGATAAGGCATCCCTGAGGCTACCTTAGCCCTAAGAATGCCCCATCCAGACCCAAAGTGCTTCGGCCTCTTCACCCCCTACCCACACCCCTCTTCTCACTGGGGAGCAGATACCCTTGCTGAGGGCTGTCCCCAGCTGCAGTGAAGTGACAGGTTTTCCCCTAGGGAGTCCGGGGCTGCCTACTGTATCCTAGGGGATGCACCCTGTTGGGGATATGTTAATTAAGTCAGAACAATGGTCTTTCGGAGGATTGGGCTCATTATGTAATTGGGCAGCCTTTCTTTCATTGCTAGTTCAGGATGTATTACTTGAAACATTTTCTTATTGGTCATGGGTTTGAACATTATTTATTTTCGTTTTTTGAGACAGGGTCTCACTATGTAGTTCAGAATGCTCTGGAACTCACTGTGTAACCTAGGCTGGTCTTGAACTTACAGCAGTCCTCTTACCTCAGCCTCCTGAGTGCTGCGATTACAGGCGTGTACCACCACGCCGGGCTTGAACACTATCTTTAAATCCAAGGAAAACAGATCATCAGAAAATACTGTGAATAGCTCAATTTTTTGAATAATTCAAATTATTTTATTTGAACCTGAATAGCAGCAAAGGGAAATAATTTTATTTTTTTGTTATTTTCTAATAGTCATTCACTCACTGCCTAATAATACACCTAATAATACTGTATTTAGGGTCAAGTGGGTGGTGCAGGCCTGTAATCCCAGCACTCGGGAGGCTGAGGCAGGAGGATCGCTGTGAGTTGGACACCAGCCTGGGCTACATAGTGAGTTCCAGGTCAGTCTCAACTACATAGTGAGATGCTGTCTCAAAACAAAAACCAAAAAAATACTCTTTAGGGGTCATATATCCCACATCATTTGGGAATTTTTGAGGATCATTTAGGAAAATTTTGGCCTTATATTCTTTCTTTTGGTTTGTTTGGGTTTTTTTATTTTGTTTTTTTTTTTTTTTTTTTTTTTTTTTTTTTTTGAGACAGACTCATTGTGCAGTTGACACTGACCTGGAACTCACTGTGTAGTCCAGGCTGGTCTCATAGTGATCCTCCTGCCTCAGCTTCCCAAGTGCTGGGATTACAGGTGTGCGCCACCACGCCTGATCTAACAATACAGAGTTTGGAGTTGTACAAGCTTGTATTTATCATCTATTCCTTCATTGTATAATGTTTTATGAGAGGTTTGTTAAATGACTCAAAATATAAATAATGTAATATGTTGTAGGGTGTTGTGAGACTTAAAATGAGATTCTTATATAGTGGATGAGATTAATGTTTTTCCCTATTACGCTGTGAAGACAAGGGAATCAGAATTATGGAAATGTTATTGATACAATATATTATTATTAGGGGTGTTGGGTCTTTCTACATAGTTCAGGCTGATCTTGAACTTGAGGCAATCCTCCTGCCTCAGCCTCCCGAGTGCTGGATTTATAGGTATGCACCATCATGCCCAGTTGACAGTATATTAGTTAATCAATTAAAATACAAACCCTCATAGCTGGGTGTGGTGGCGCACGCCTGTAATCCCAGCACTTAGGAGGCTGAGGCAGGAGGATCGCTGTGAGTTCCAGACCAGCTTGGTATACATAGTGAGTTCCAGGTCAGTCTTGACTACATAGTGAGACCCTGTCTCAAAGAACAAACAAAAATAAGTAAATAAAAATAAAATACAAACCCACAGGGCCGGGGACTTAGCTCAGTGGCTCCAAGCCTGCCTTGCAAGCATGAGGTCCTGAGTTTGATCCCTGGTACTGGGGGTGGGGGTGGTTCCTAAAATATAAACTCTCTAGCTTTACCCATTCTCTACTGAATCAAGGTCTGGGGGTGAGACTCAGCAATCTGTACGAAATTTGGGAACCCCAGCTCATTGGATTTTTCCCAGTTCCAATGTAGCAGCGGATGAATTCAGTAGCAGGTGTCTTGGAGCCCTAAGGCTGTTCCTTAGAAGAAAGCATTAGAATGCGGATTGGAGGCAGCGTGGTCCACCGCTGGGAATGACAAACCGTAGGGCACCCTGGGTTAAGTTAGAAATACGGAGCTGCAGCTGCGCCGGGTTACCGTGGACGAAGTGCAGAGAACGTCTCGTAAGGAAGTTTCTTGGCTTATGCTTTTTCTTTCTCTACATCTGATGATAAATATCTATCCACTCATTAGAATAACAATGTGTAAAAAGCAACATTTGAAACCCCGAAAAAACAGGCTTACAGCAGAGTGGCATGGTAGTGATGGCTCTTACAGGCGCTCAGGGTGTGGGGGGCGGGGGTGCCGGCCGTCCCAGCGAACTGAGTCACAGAAGCAGGTGGCGGGGTCTGTGGGCCCGCGTGGCTCGGTGCTGTGGCCATAAGATCGACTTAGGTTTACCCAGGGCAGGCCCAGGGCGCCATCCACAGTGAGAGTCGGAGGTCAGGCCGCAGTATTTCTAGGCCACCTGTTACTGCTGGGTCCGTTTTTTTTTTTTTTTTTGTACCCGGATCGAACTCGGGCTCTTTCGCTTTCAAGGCAGGCAGCAGAACCCCTGAGCCAGTTCCCCTGCACTCCAATTTTGACTTGATAAGTTTTAGATGCTTTTCGAATTCCTTGACTCTCTTACCAGCTGGGACTGCACTGAAATCAGGGTCTGACTGTGTAGTCCTGGCTGGACTTCAGCTGGCGTCTGTGTTCCTGCCTCAGCCTCCCGAATGCCGGGATTATAAAAGGGTAGGGATAGGGGCCCCATAAGTAAGAACAAGATAAGATGAAGACCTCTTTCAGCTTTGGTAGAAGTGAATCCCAGCACTAAGCAGGCTGAGGCAGGAGGATTGCCTTAACTCACAGCAAGATCCTGTCTCAAAAAAAAAAAAAGTTATGGCTGTGGCCTCAGCTTTTAGCAATCAGAAAGACAAAGAAAAAGACATTAAGATCTGGGAGGTCCTAAGTAGCAAAAGCCCCTTTATTTAAACCTAAACTACTGTCCCCAAGGCCCACACCCATAATCGAAGCCTCCCCAAACTCCTGACCGGAAGAGCTCCAAGGGGAGGACCAGAGCCAGTCAGGGACAAGGAAGCGGCCCAATGAACGGAGCTGCGGAGAACAGCCCCCCACGTCTGCTTTCCAAGGAGTAGCTGTCTACCGCCTCTCTTCCCCTTTACTCCACCTTTCATATTTGGTTTTTTTGTTTGTTTTGTACCAGGGATCAACTCGGGCCCTTGCACTTGAGAGACAGGCGCCGGAACCACTGAGCTAAATTCCCGGCCCCCTACTCCACCTTCAAATAAACTGTCTTCTTAGTTTAAATTCAGCTTCTTTAATTCCTTACTGATACTGCCTTTACAATTTCCGGGAGCTATGGTTTTTCCAGCATAGCAGCGGCACACGCCTGGGACTAGCAGGTGACCTTGCGCTTGTGAGGCAGGGAGGGGAACCACTGAACTAAATCCCCAGGCCACACAGGTTTTAATAATTCAATGGATGAGGAAGTCCAAGTCTGGTCTGCCTATTACAAATTATCATCAATGAGGTAGGAACAAGTATTTATTTTTCATGGTTCAGGAGCCTAGGAAATCCAAGATGGTGGTGGTAGCAGATTCCATATCTGGTGACGGCCATTTTACAAATAGGTCCTCACTTTGTGTAGTGCTTGCTAGCTCTCTACAGTTTTTTTTTTCTTTTTCTTTCTTTCGTAGCGGGGATCGAACTCAGGTCCTTGCACTTGCAAGGCAGGACACCAAACCACTGAGCTAAATCTGCAGCCCGTGAAATAAAAATTTTAAAAACTGTAAAATTCTCACGGTTGTATTTTTTTTCATTTGTTTGATTTTGGTAAGGGGATTGAACTCGGGTCTTTGGGCTTGCAAGGCAGGTGGAGGCACCGCTAAGCTGAATCCCCAGCCTACTTTCACATTTTTTGAGACAAGACTTGCTGTGTAGTCCAGGCTGGCCTCAAACTCACAGTGATCTTCCTGCTTCAGCTTTCTGAGTATCAGGATTGCAGGCGTTCACCACCACGCCTGGCGTTTATTTTTCATTTTGAGATAGATCTTGCTAAATTGCTCAGGCTGGGCTTGAATTTATGACCTTCCTGCCTCAGCTTCCCAGAGTGCTGAGATTACAGGTGTGCGTCACCACGCGGCCTAACCTCTGGGATCTCTAGAACAAACATCAAGGAAGTCATCTTGGGCAGGGGATTTAGCTCAGTGGTTCTGGCGCCTGCCTCGCAAACACAAGGTCCTGAGTTCAATCCCCGGTACCAAAAACAAAAAGAAAGACATCTCGTGGCTCTCACCCATCCTGCTCCCCTCCTGCCTCCTGCCCTTTCCGTCCACATCACTGAGCACGCTGCACAGCAGGCAGGGACAGGCGCGCAGGGACGACCGGGTGAGACCAGCGCCTCCGGGCCTCAGAGGCCTCAGCGATGGAGGGCTCTGGAGGTGAGGCTCACAACTCCATTCCCGCTGAGCTGGAGATCCTCATTTCAATTG